TGTGTATATATGTGTGTGTATATATATATAGCGAGTTTTACAGATTATATGGACACTGCAGTGTAAGTAGAACAGAAGAGGAAAAATAGAAAAAAAAGGAGAAAAGATGAGAGAAAGAGGAGACAAAAGGGAGATAATGATAAAACATTTTCAATCTGCTGCATCACCTACAAAGAGATGTAAAAACAACAGCACAACCAACAGACATGGTACGAGACATACAATAAAGTACCCTAACAAGATTTTACTTTTTGGTTTTCATGAACACGTTTTGGAAATTTTATTCAAACTGTCTCTTATCTTACCATGTAAGTTTGGTCATCTAAAAAGCTTTTCCCTTGCTCTCAATGCAAAGATATGAAGCAGATTCAGTCCTGTCACATCTATGAAGTCTATGTGTCTCATTATCGGCCTCAGTTTTTATTGTGCATCTCAGTGGAAAGGCTAGGCAAGTTTATTTGTATCGCACAATTAAATACAAAGATAATTAAAGTGCTTTACATGAATTAAGCAATAAAATATAAGGCAAATTAAATCAGAATTAAGCTTAAAAATTTGCCTTGTGCTACGCACACAGATGAGTGACTGGGTTATTCTGTGACAACCCAGTTGTGGTTATTAGTATTCTAAACTTAATGATTGATTGACTATCTGGGGATGAAAGTAAAATTTGTTAGGTAATCAGAATCTCCAAGAGGTCAAATAATATGATGTCATCCCAGCAACTGAAGCAATCAGTTTTCATGTTACCCCTATGCAGATGTGCGTTCAGGAGGTGCTTTAATGCAAGGGAGGCATTTCTAGCGACATGATTACAGCAATTTCAGCAACACAACGGGATGGGCGTGCATCACAGGATGGAAATCCATCACAGGATGCACATCCATCCTGTGATGGACGTGCAGCCAATCATTGGTTGTTGGGTGGCTTTTAAAAAAGCTGATGAAAGAAAATTCTCTTGCTCGATCTATGACTGTTCTCCGATCTCCTGCTGTTACTGCCGATAGCTTCAAGAGTGATTTGTCCTAGTTGAACCAAAGGACTGTGGAAAGGAACTATGACCCTGCTAAAGCTCCTCAAACAGGGAGTGTCGCTGTTCGGCTTTCTATTGTGAATAAAATACCGTGACTCGCTTGGTAAAATCCAGGTTTTCCTTGCTGAGGTGAAACTAGCAAGAAGCTGATAGAAGCTCCCTCTATTTGACGTTGCAGTGACGCAACAGGGGTGGAGCTTGTCACCTGCCATGTAAATCACTAGCGATATTTCAGGTGAGCAGAAACACCCAAATTTGGCGACGTGTTTGTTGTCAACGCACCTAAATAAGTAGAATTATATTGGTAATCCAATTAGATGTTTTACTCTGATTGTGACATATTTAACTTCACAGCTTAGAGCTTTGGGGCGTTTAAAACTGAAATGCTTATCACCCTCCCAAAAACGACCCCATTAGACCAAAATCCAATCCAAAATACAAACATTTGCTTTGCTTTCATCATCAAAATGTATATATGACTATGACATTCCAAATGGAGCAAGAAACCGGTTTTCTTTAATAAGCCACTGTAATTAGGAAAGGTTTACTTTTTGTTTACTTACATGAAAACATTTTGATTATTTTCAAGCTGTGGTCTGTCAAGGCCAAATCTCTAAACAGATGCATAAGGTTTGTAAAATAAAACATTTTTGAAGCACTACAGAAAACAAAACAAAAAAAAACTCTAAAACAATAACTACAGTGAATATGTAAAGGCTCTGAATTCACTTTAACCGTGATTGTAAATTCAGGCAAGCCTTCACCAGAATCACTGGCTGACTCTTAAGTTGATTCCTGCTACAAACCCAGAGGTTTAACTTGAAATCCTTTGGGTTCGAAAAGGTGGATCCCTGGAATGGTGGATGCTATTCTGCTAGTCCGTGTCATGGGAAAGGTCAGAGAGCTGTGATCCTGAGGGTAAAATATGCAGAGTCAGGTGACACCTGTTGGCTTTTACTACTTATTTCTGAAGCTAGTCCCTATTTTACAGGATTATCTTTTATACAGCTCCCCAAAGAAAGACAAAAAGGGACCCTGTCTTAAATTACAAACTCATGTGAACATTGAAACTCAAAACTATTCTTTCATATCAACTTATTTCTTTTAAAAATGTTTTAGTCCTTTAATTTGGAATTTTTAGATCTAATGTTTCTCATTTTTGTAAGGTTTTTTCTTCATTGAGACATATTTTATGTTTAGATGGCCACTTATTCAAATGTTGACATTACGTTTATTCACTGCCAGGCTCGTCAAAGGATAAACCAGCATTTTATTCTGCTACTTCAAAAGATAAAATGTTTAAACTGATGTAGAAGGTAAATGACATGGTTCTGAGTTTTTGATCTATTATATCATCGTTGCAGCACATTTAACCGTAGACTCTGTTTCTGTCTTTTCTTTAATATACTCTAAAGCATTTATTTTTGCATGCAGGAAATGCAGTGTTAATTTAAAAACATGTTCCTGTCGATAAAAGATGCTGCTTATTGCTGTAGCTCTATCCAACTAACATGGCCCTCAATTGCAGCTACACATCATTCTGTTTTCAGAGGATAACTTTCTCCTACTTTAATTAATCACGCTTCTGTTTACATTATGCTAAGGCATCACTCAGGAGATGATCAATGAAACACGAGCATCCACCGAGAGGAAGATGATGGGAGACATTCAAGAGATGCTGAGATCAGGAGATCAGGTCAACCAACAGGACTCTCAGGGAGCCACGCTGGTAAGAAGGCTTTTTTGTGTTTTATTTATACATTCTCAGTTGTACAAATAGTTCAAATACAGACAAAAAAAATGCAAATAAAGAAAAACGCAATTGTGAAATAAAAAATAAAATAGTGCGAATATAATAGAAGTCAATCTGCTTAAAATAAATAAAAAAGGAAAAGAAAGAAATGAAAAATAAGTACCGTAAGTGTGAAGTCTGCTCAGAGGTAATACAAACCTTTTTAAGTAAAAGGACAATCTGCACCAAACAATTGAAATATAGACAAATACATGAAATACATGTACTTTGCATGTAATAAATAATGATTAAACACATCCAAATACTCACACTGTTACCGTATAGTGTAGACATGTGCAACATAAAAGGCTGCCACATTTGATCAAAAGTTGCAGAAGTCAAATTCTCTCTAGATGCAATAATTAGTCATTTCCATCATCCAGGTCTTGAAATATGGGACAGTTTAATTTTTCCACCAGGTTAAGATGTTTCTTTTTGCAATGACCATGTTATATTGTATTGTTTTTTGCTTATAGCGGGTTAGAGTAGTGCACTGTTAGAACCCAGTATAGCATTGCATGGGTCTGGAGTGACGTGGAGTGACGTGGAGAAGCACGTGAAAATATCTGACCAAAAATTGTTTAATGTGGGAAAGGACCAGAAGAGATCGCCAAGACTTCCCTTTGCTGATTTACATTTTGGACAGATTGGGGAGGGAAAGGATAAGAAGAGTTGTAGTGCATGTGTAGTGCTTGAATAGTGAAGCCTATGGATCACTTTGAACTGGATAAATTGATGCCTGGAGTTTGTCTAACAGCTGTGGATGGCAGGAAGGGAGGGATTATAGACATCATCTCTGATTTTAATGCCAAGATCTTCCTCCAAGGCCTCCTTTAGGTTCACAGTAGGAGCAGATTCATAAGCTGTAAAAATGTTGGCAAAATAACAGACAAGTCTCCTTAAGTTGGGAGACTGGTTCAGAAGAGCGCACAGACCTGTGGGGCAGGGAGAGATTCAAAGTTTGTTATTTTTTCACGTGTAATCTCTAATCTGGAAATAGCAGGATAAATGTGAAGGTGGGAGTGAACCTTTTTCCTTTAGCTGTGCAAAAGTAGCAAAAGATTGTTCAATGTAAAAGTCTGCTAAATTGGCAAGGCATTTTTCCAGGTTTAAATATATTATCAGTCATAAAAGGGGGAAGATGGGGTCGTGACAAATAAGGGTATAAGCTGAAAAATTTAGTAGATTGTATGCTTAATATAATTTGCCAAGTAATAATGCTGGAAATTAGGCAGCCTACACAAACAACAAATTGGAGAACCATTTACCTACTTAAAAGCTAGGGATTTTTTTCCAAATAGGAATTCTTTGTTCTATTGTAATATTGTTTTATAAGTAAATTGTACACAGAGCGACACAGAAACAGAAAGCCAGATCCTTCATGCTGCAACTGCATGAAGGATCTGCGACAAACAGTGCCACTATGCAGCCAACAAGTAAACAATATTTTCTATTTCTAACCTAGACATGGTCAGGCAATCAATAAAGCAACAAGTTTACTCCTAATATCAAAGCACATACTTCTTGCATCTGTTAAGTTGGGAACTTATTTAAATTGTTTTGTTAACACTATTTGGTAAGATTAATTCAATTTTTCCTGTGATTGATATAGAATTAGAAATTAATTAAGTAATATGTTAAATAAAAGGTGTCATTTTGAAACAAATGCACTTAAATGGCAATTTGCTGTAAATTTTACATAAAAACTGAGGTAATATTTACAGGATCATAAAGTCTCTTTTTTTCAGGTCAAGTCCTGCACATTTTGGTTTGGTAATGTCGTTTTTGGAAATATGGTTTGCCTTGAATCCCGTAACAAAGGGAAGAGTTCAAAAGCTTGAAAAAAAATGCTTTAACTATAAATATAGGTAAAGTTTGGAAAAGATAGAGGAACCTCAGGAGAGCAATCTTTTTATTAGGTTCACACACCCTATCATAGATAAGGGTAGCATCTTCCAGATTTCAGTGTTAGATTTAACCTTTTAAGCCTTTTTATATAATTCAGTTTACTTTGGGTATAACCAAACCTAAGTATTTATGTTGTCTGTAACAATGTGAAAGGGCAAGCTGTTAACAAAATCTGGATTCATGCCGTTTTTGAGAGACATGAGTTTGCTTTTTTGGTCTCGTAGTGTGGCCAGATAGTTCACAAACTGTATTAATAAGTTTGAGCAAAGGGGGAAAAGACTTCTCAGGGTTAGAGAGAAACAGGATTACATCATCTACTCCACTATACCTAAGATTAACGCAGCAAAGGAGTTTTAGTTCCTCATGCTGATGCTAAAGCAAGAAGTAGCGGGCTCAGTGGGCATGCCTTGACGACCGGTACTGTACGTTGCAATGAGAGAGTGGGAGATCTGTCATATTTGGTGCAGCTTTTCAACCCAGGAGGCAAAATTATCACCAGAACCAAAGTCTTTTATCACCGCCAGGATGTAGTTCCATTCAAGTTGATCCAAATATTTATCGCAACAGTTCAAACAGAGATTTTGGAGTCTTTGTTATATCTGGCATACATTTTATTCATCCACCATGTAACATTGAAAAAAGAGAATCTCCCTGTGATAAATGCAGTAGCGAAGGAGTGGTTGAGCATCCGTTAAATAACAGGAGCTGTTTCGTCTGAATCTGCTTTGTCAAAGTCTATGTTAAAGCCGTCTGGGGGAAACCACTTTTCCGTTGGGAAAGGAACGTTGAATGAAGGAAGTTAGAAATTTGCTTGCCATCTACAAACATTTATTAATCTCTTTTGGCTCTGTAGTGAAGGTACCCATTTGTGTCTTGATCTTATTAATTCTTCGCTTAGCCAGTATGCTTCTGAGCTGACGGGCTAATAGTTTGTCTGGCTTGTAATATAGTTCAAAATGCTTCTTATTTTTTAACCTTTAATAGTACAGTATTCACTTGGTAGGAGAGAATAGTGTTATATTTTGATTAGCAGTTTCATAATCTTGTTCAGTTTAGAAGATAAGGGAGTCTGGTGGAAGCCTCTTTCAAGGTTTTTTTTTTCCAGCTTCACCTCATAGGCTATGACATGGCCCTGTGTAACAGCTTTTGAAGCTTTCCATAGGGTGGAATGTGTAACGTTTGATGTGTCATTATGGGATAGATAGTCTAATATAAGAATAGCTGTTTGTTAATTAAACTGGATACCTTTAAAAAGTAATGGGTTGAATCGCCAGTTAAACGTAGGTTCTCTCCTAACTAAGTCTCTTTTTAGTTCAATAGGGCAAGGATCCAAAATTAAAATAGTGTGGTATTTGGTGTAGGTTATCTCAGAAGTCAGTTTAGCTTCTGTTAGAAAGTAATTAATTGTTCAGTAGGATTTGTGCACATGTGAAAGAGAGTCATCTCTGCCAGTAGGATGTTGAAGCATCCAGATGTCAACAAGGTTTTATAGATCTAATGAGGTTATTTATGGTAATTGTGGAGCTGGAAGGAGTAATGTGTGAAGAAAGCTTATCAGTAAAATAGTTCAATATAGTCTGGTGGAAGAGTCTGGGATGAGATTAAAAACTTTTCTAAAGAAGCAAGAGTACCGGTAATCAAAATTAAGTGCTGGATGGACAGAATGATGGAGTACCAAAAGTGCTTTGTAAATGTTTCTTTATCTTTGTAGTTCTCATGATTAAAGGGACTGTACCTTAGAATGAACGTTGTTTAAAACGTCATCGTAAACTATGCAGTAACAAAGTCCTCCGACACTTCTACTTTCATTACATACAGAAGAAATAGAAGCAGCTTAGTTTCGCTAATCCAGTGCACCTAATTTAGTGATCCTCAATCATTTTAACCACCTTTATCAATTATATTGAATTGCAGATGTCAATGCAGTATCAGTATGTGCAATGTAACAATCTAAAAGCAGTGCTTGGATTCAGTTTCTGAGAGATTATCTATTTCCTGTGCTTTAAATGCAAACTTTGCAAATTCGAAAGTATTTGTACTCGGACAGGAATTATGTGTGTAACCATATCTATATTAAGTGCTTTTAAAGCCTTAAAATAAATAAATATAACATTTTAAAACGATTAAAAGAAACAAACGGAAGTATTGGAAAATAGTTCCTAAACCTCGTTTTGGACCTAATGTAAGCGATGTGCTGCTCACTTACAAACTCACTTCTCCGCACAGAACTTCAGCACTAAGAGGGTAATAAAGTGTTAACCTTTTTAAAATTATGTTTACTGCAACAACATCTCAGGAGGCTTTCAAACCTTCAGAGCTAATCAGGCATTAGAGACTCATTAAAACTTTCTTAAAGGCAAATCAGATATGAGATTTTAAATGCTCTGCAGTTTCACTTTTTGTCCGTGGGTGAACATAAGTAATGTAAAGAAACATAAAACATTAAAAGATAATGAATGACAGTAATCAATATACCACCCGTTTGAATGAAGCATAAAACAAACTGATGGCTATAAATTATTAAACTAACTGTGTTTTTCAAACTTCCCTGTTGATGGGATTGTTTAATACCACACAGACAACTAAATGACTGTTCTTTATTCTTTTTGCCAAGATACGTATATATATATATATATATATATATATATATATATATATATATATATATATATATATATATATATATATATATATATATATNAATTGTTTTGTTAACACTATTTGGTAAGATTAATTCAATTTTTCCTGTGATTGATATAGAATTAGAAATTAATTAAGTAATATGTTAAATAAAAGGTGTCATTTTGAAGCAAATGCACTTAAATGGCAATTTGCTGTAAATTTTACATAAAAACTGAGGTAATATTTACAGGATCATAAAGTCTCTTTTTTTCAGGTCAAGTCCTGCACATTTTGGTTTGGTAATGTCGTTTTTGGAAATATGGTTTGCCTTGAATCCCGTAACAAAGGGAAGAGTTCAAAAGCTTGAAAAAAAAATGCTTTAACTATAAATATAGGTAAAGTTTGGA